TGAAAAATTTATACTGACTTTTACAACATAAACTAAAAATATTGTGTTTCAACTTAACAATACTACCTTAATTTATACTTTAGAATTGCCTCGGATAAATTTGAATTGTTAGCAATGACTTAAACAGAAAGTTTTATTTTAACTGAAAAATACTATATTATAATTTGACTATACTCATTTTCTTACTCTTTTCTTTGTTTTTTATACATTTTATTTTTTTGTGATAAAATAAAAAACTTATAGTTGTTCTGCTTCTGAACACTGATGAAAACACAAAATGATGGGCTTCATCAACAATCAAAAATATCTACATTTATTTTGCAAATTCCATATTATTAGGGTGGCGCCCTTCAGGGAATTAAAAATACAAAATTATCTTCATCAAAGCCGATGCTCTACATCCGGCTTTCAGTGGCAGAGTACTATTTCATATTGTTTTACAACACATGAAGGGGCTTTAGCCCTTCATGTGTTGTAAAAAACCAAAAAAACCACACCCCAAAAAAAAGTCTTTCCCACCAGAGGGCTTTAGCCCTCTGGTGGGAAAGACTTTTTGTGAATACACTTGATAATGTATGTTATTTAGTGTAAGTTATGTACTTGATAATATATCAAGTCTTTCCCACCAGAGGGTTTTAGCCCTCTGGTGGGAAAGACTTTGAAACAAAACTTACAGCAGTTACTTTATCCATCAACTGAAATTTGGAATAGTGTGATTAAGAAAAATATGTGAACTGTTTGCAATTTCAAATTAATATTGAAATGTACTGGTTTAGAATTTTCTACAGTGAAAAGTTTTCGAAACTTCAGTATTCAAGAAAATATACAAAAGCTAGACGTTAAGAACGTATCCAATGAGCGAGCAAAGCGAGCATTGGATTGCGAAGCAATCTGAAATGAATTGCGAAAGTAGTTCCGGGGGTTGGCGAGCGCCAGCGAGCAGGGGGCGAAGCCTCCTAGTATTAAATACTTATATCAGTTTATTGTAATTCATTTTTGTGAATAATGATGCTAGTTGAAGCAGGAATGGTTCATCGGGTGGAGAACTTTGCCTCCTAAAAAGATGATCCAGGTTTGAATCCCATCGTCTCGTTTTCTGCTCCTCACTTGTACTAAGCAGTGTTGACGTAAAGTATCCTCCAGAGGTAGTCGGATCAGGAGTTAGATTCCTCTTCCTATTCGACATACTTTGGGAGCTTTTCGTGGTTTCTCTCCACGTGACGCGAATGCAAATTAGTAATAGAAAATACTTTACGAAGGAAAGTCTGGCTAAATGCCTAATTCAGCAGTCAATCGGTATGACCGGTTGGATTGGTTGGTTCTAATGCCACTTGCCACACGTGAAAGCCTGCTTGGTGAAACCGAGCAAATTTAAGGCAGAGTGTGCTGTTCTTGATTTTCAGTGGCGCCATCTATGGCCAAGAATTCGACTTCTGCCACATCATATGTCACAGCTATTCATAAGGTGGACCCACTCATACATCCATTCATTCATCCACAGATCGTAATTTTGACCTGAATCAGAGAACGATCGGTCTCCCCCAGAGGTATTGATTTGTTATGGGAACATGGAGGGCTTGCGACTTGACAGAATTTTAACGTGTATCAATCACCAACTACACGGGGAGTCTTCACCCGGCGGGGTTCGAACCCACGAACTCTCGGACACGGGCCCTACCGACCAGGCTATCCCGGCCTTGACCCGTTTGTGACCCGTTGACTTACAGCAAACTGTTGAGAGCTTATTTTACTTTATATGTTTCATACTTTACTTGCGTATGCAATTTATTATAACCTATTTTAATGCATACATTAATTGTGTATATGTAGGGGAATTTTTATAAGTTTCCACCTCTATGCTTTGTTGCATGATGGTGCTCATTGATTCATTCTAAATTTTTGATTAAACCTCTGGAATACCGTTTCCATTTTACCTACTAGTTTATCATACTATTTTTTCTTGGTTTTAATATGTTCTATATGTTTTTATGTAATAAAAGGACTTCATAATGCTATATCTCCAAACACTAAAATTTAGAATTATATGTTATGTGTTGCCTATTTTTGCGAATTTATTTTCAAAGTGTATCGTCGCCAATAGCCCATTGTGCAGCTCAAGTGCGACGTAAATGAACTGCAACAACAACATCTGTAAAAGTGCATCACTAATCATAGCTAATATTAGCTGAAAGCTAACATTAAAAAAAAAATATGTATTTAATGGGAAAGTGATCCAAAAAGAACAGCGAAAACAATTCGGAGAATGGAGAGCACAGAGAAAAATTTGTACTTATTAAAAATAAAATTTGGTTGTTTTTTTCTATTTAGTTTAGGAGTGCTACAAGTGATCCAAGAAGATTATGGGATGATGGCATTATACCTTACAAGTTATCTGAAAAATTTAGTAAGTTTAATTTATTATCCCTCAGGTTTTTTTTACTGTACCTACTAATTAGGAAAATTTTAACTTATAATGAATTTTAATGAAATATTTATCTGCATAAAATGCTTTTGCTTATTGATTAATGCTTTGAAAAAATAATTCAGGTCATTTTTAAGGAAATCTTGCATTTTAAGTTAAAAATTAAAGCACTATATACTCTTTAAGAAAAAATACTTTTAATAAATAGTGTGCAATGACATATTTGCTTCCCCCCTCCTTTTTCTGGTGATATTTTAAGAAATTACTTCAAACTCATCAGAAAATAAAAGAGTTGTGCGATTAAAAAAATTTTGAAATTTGTTTTAAAGTAATTTGTGCTGTAATAAAAAAAGGAAGAAGCAATTTTTTTCATTAATATTAGCATGTTTTTTCTTAAAAAGAAAATTAAAATAAAGGAGTTAAAATCAGTTTAAAATATTAATGTTTAAAACCATAACAAAAACCAGCTAATATTTTTCCCAATTGTTTTGTAATACAAATAAAATCAATGCATTTCTTTTAGGTTAGACATACCTTTTAATTATAAAGTTAAAAATGGCCGTAGACTGATATATTTATATGGAATTCGTTTCAAAATATATAGCCATTTTCTTAATTGCGGATCTGTAAAAATTACGCATTTTCGAAAGTTTCATTGACTTAAACAATATTTTATTCAAATTTAGATTCAAAGCAAAAGGCCATGATTAAAGAGGCTATAGCTGATTTTAAAGAAAAAACTTGCATTTCATTCATTCCTCACACCAATGAGACCCAGTTTCTTGTCATCAGAACAGGAAAAGGGTAAGTTATTTGGAAGAAAACTGGGCAAGCGTAATTGATTTATTTATCTTCAGAAGACTGTTTATTTACAAGCTCACGAGGTACAAAGAGGTGATATATAGAAAGATCAAGTTTCAAGCTTTTACACTCATCAAGCTTTAAGTTTTTTACAATTGTTCAATGCATGCACTTTTGGTCACCTAACACACATTCTAAAGAATGAAACATCTACGCCCATGCGTTCATTATCTTGTTTCTGAAAGCTTGTCACAGCAGCGGTGATGTGTTCCTGAAGTGTTGTTGGCGTTTGGTGTGCATGAACTTGTAATGATCAATGACAACTTGTAAAAGAGCCTCAATCTCTACTTGTAAAGGATAAAGTTTTTTGTACTCCAATGCTAACATCACTGATGGTATGTATCTCTGCTTCCGCGACAAGCATTGAAAGAAACCTGCAATGGAACGCTTGACAGAAATGGTTTCAATTGCAATATGTTTCAAGTGGCCATGGAGGCACATATTTAACATTTGTAGTATGTAGCAGAAAATTGTTGAGTCTAAGTACTTTTCCATGCATTTCACTATTCTCCATGTATTTCACCATGTTCACCATTCTTCGTGTATTTTTTCCATGCATTTCACTATTCTCCATGTATTTCACCGAGTTCACCATTCTTCGTATATTTTTTTTTATTTCCATGCATTTCATCTCATTTTACGTCGTGTATTTTATAAGTAAGCAGTTTTTTTAATTGGATAAATCATCTCGGTAACCCTGCACTTTAAACTTACAAACATAATTTTTTTTTATTCCATGTAAAAAGTTTTCGTGTATTTTAGCACCAAAAATAGAATGGGTCAATTATTTTACATCTAAGTGGTATCTCACCAAGAGCTCAACTACACCAAAAATCTTCGATTGACTTACTTGGTGTAAAGTAGCTGCCCCCTTGTTTTGCAACCAGTAGCTCCGAAATTTGTAATTATATTGAAATAAGATCCATATAAGAATCAGTTTATGCATTTTTATAAATACAACATAAAGTAAGAATTAATTATTTAGAATGATAAAGCTACAACACTAATGCAGCTAATGCTGAAGCTTTGCCAATTCATAAAAGTAAAATTAAGTTGTTAATCAAATTTACGTGTAGCATAACGAAAATATGAAATCGAACAGGGTTTAATAAAATGGAAGCTGATAGAAATTATTCATGATAAAAACACATAATACAGATTGCAGAGATTTAAAAATCTAATATAACTATCCTTATTATCGAATTAAAAGCATATATAATTAAAAACATATTTATGCAATGATAAACAAATCATTCAATTAAATCACAAAAAATTACAAGCAACCATAAACTATCAACTCTGTTGATAAAAAAAGCGAGTCAGCAACCAGGGTTCCTTGGGTTATTCATCCACTCTTCCTTCAAGGTTAACATCTTCCTTACCTGTACTATGCATGATTCTTTGTCGCCTTGCGAGATCATCGCCAACAAAACCAATTATTTTTATTTTTTGAAATGCCACATGCTATTTAGGCAAAGTATGAAATAATTGTCCTGATGAGGTTATTATGTAAATGATGTGCATGTTACTGTGAATGACCGAAATCGGTGGTTGTTGACTTTCACCGGTGAATGTTGACAATCAAATTAGTCGCTCCGATCTACATCCGATTTGATATTAATTTATTCGTGGATATAATTACATTTATTCGATATTTTAATACTTACTGACGATAGATTAGAACAAACATCAGTCAGTGTAGGGTATACCGGGCAAATGTATACCGGGCAGTGGCACTTGACCTTAAAAAACATCAGTGTAGGGTATACCGGGCAGTGGCACTTGACCTTAAAAAACATTAGTGTAGGGTATACCGGACAGTGGCACTTGACCTTAAAAAAACATCAGTTTAGGGTATACCGGGCAAATGTATACCGGGCAGTGGCATTGAACCTTAAAAAAGCATCAGTGAAGGGTATACCGGGCAAATGTATACCGGGCAGTGGCACTTGACCTTAAAAAAGCATCAGTGTAGGATATACCGGGCAAATCTATACCGAGCAATGGCACTTAACCAGACCTAGTATGACTCGACCTTTGGTAAATGTCCGAAATACATACTAGGTTTAGTGCCACTTTTGCTATAGCTTAAATATTTAAAAAAATTAAGCAAAGCGTTTGAACCAATTTTAAACTGATAACGAAATTATTGCTTTAAAATTAAAGAAAATAAATAATAAAAACTGCGCTAGATAAGAGTAATTGAAGTAGTTGCTTTATACAGCGCATGTGCGGAAAAAAATTTAAAAAAAAATTATTCACGTGCATCAAAAAGTGGATGAATATCCCAAGACACCAGCAATGAGAGTTTTCGAAGAGTAATAATTCTCAATTTGTGTCAATAAGCGAGAATTTGGTGCAAGCCAATTCTATTATAAGTGATTAGATTTAAATTACACTCTTTAAATTGGATATTAGTGCTCGATTTACTGTCAACTCGAAATTAAGTGCTACTTCACACAATGCTTGGGGATGTTCAACATCATAATCAGAGACATTTTACCCAATTGTGTTTACAGTGTTGAAGCAAATTTTTGTTTTAAATCCTGTGGTATATAGTTAAATCTACTGATTGATATTCTCCTTTAAAAATAATTAGTAATCGGGAAATTAATGTTTGAATGTTTTTCAACCATAGTCACTTGTTTAATTTAAATAATTTTTAGTTATTCATACAGGGTTATTCATAATTCCCTCCGGGGTTTCGAAGCATTATAGTAGAAAAACGAAGACGAATATGGCAGAAAAGAACATATGAAATTATTCTAAAAGAATTCAAGTTTTAATTTGAGCAGTTGCCGGTAGATGGCAGTAACATGTATCACTGAAGCCAGTTGTAGTAAAGAAAAAAGGCGTTTACAGGCGGAGGGAATTATGAATAACCCTGTATATTTATCTTTCCACATTGTTTTTCCGTAGATATAAATCATATAATGTTTTTCTACATTTTGGGGTCAAGTAGTAATTAGGAGTTTCTAGATCACATTGATATTATATTTAAACAAAAATGTAAGAATTTAAATAAAAATAAAACAAATTTTAAAGATACGCATGTTAGCAGTACTTCGTCAGGGGATACGCTGCCACGCCAACATGATGGAGCCTCTCTGTAGTCAGTGGTTAAACCAAAAATTGACTGTGTCCCTAGGCCCCATAAGTGAAAATAAAATAGGAATATAAAGCAATATCTCAATTTTATCTTACTATACCTGAGGGAAAGTTTAAAACAATATCATAAATATTTATGTTTTAGCGCAAAAAGTATCTCTATATTTTTCTTAATCAGATTTTTTCTCTAAAAGCCACAATCTGCTTTGACATAAATGACTAATTCGATTATCTGCGGAAAAAGAGAATGAACTCTAACATATTTTGGAAGCTTATTATCTGATTCAATGAGTGATTGGCCTATGTATAGACCGTAATAATTGGATTAGTATTTATCAATATTGTCAACGAAGATTCTTTTTCTTTCTTCGGTCAAATGATATGACTTATTAGATTTCGAAGACCTGCGCTAATTGGGTCATAACGATTAATAAAGTAATTTTTTTCCCGTTTGTCTCTTAATTGTTTTTAGAATGCTCAGTTGTATTTCAGGAATGTCATATATAGATACAATTAACGAATTTTTTCTTTTTCAGAAAACTATGTATTAATATGTCTTTTATATTTTCTGATAAGTCGTTTTCTTATGCTAAAACACATACTTAATTCAAAATATATGAAGAAATATTAAATATTATTTGATATAGGTCTACCATTCAAAATAAGTTTTTTCACGCTTTATATAACGTATAGTTATAAAAATGCTTGCTATTTTATTTATCGTACGTTTCTTCTCGTATACCTCTTTGATGTGTTTTTCGTTTGAAAAATATATTCCCTTTTCAACTAAGATTCTATTCTGGATGCATTATTATCTGCACGCAATATATATGGGTGATTCTTTTTAAACATGACAATTCGGACCAAAGAATTTCTTCAAATTTAAAGTCTTTAAAATAATCTAAAAATTTTTTTGTATACTTCTTCAGTTACATTTATTAATATCTTACAGACAGCAATGTAGTTTATTGACATTTTCTCGAGAAAAAAAAATAAAATAGAAATTAATCAAATTTTGAATGCCAGGAAAATGACATATTAGCTTAGAAGTTTAAAAAAACAGTCATTTTAAGTTAATAGTAAGTAACTCAGCTTAAGCTTTTATGTTAGATGGATCATAAATTGCTTAAATTAATTCTTTTTATCCACTGTAGAACGAATCAAATTTTTTTATTGCTGCTGATATGTACAGAATAAATCAATCATTAAATAAATAAATAACTTTGATAACATCCAACCATATTGCAATCATACATAAACTTGGTATTAGGTTAATATTTGCTTTTCCTCCTTACAGTATTAGCAGTTAAAAAAACTTTCTGGTAACACTTCAATGTCCTGGAATTCATAAGCCAGGAAAATGACAGCCAGGATAATGACAAATTCGCCATTTTAAAGCATATAACTTTAATTTAATTTAATATTTTGGCCTAAGACGTTTACATTCTGCAGAAAACAACAGGATTTCCTAAAATAACTAAGATAAATCTATATAGTTTATGTTATTAATGATTTCAAGAAGCCAGGAAAATGACAACACAAAAACCTACTCAGATAGATTTTGAGCCACAAAATTGGTTCTTTATTCATGCAACAAGACATGTTCATATAGGAGGGTATCTAATCAATCTATTAACATAAGATATTGATTGCTGGCTCTATCTATTTTGGTTATAAACCACTAAATAAAAGTAGCCAGGAAAATGACAGATTTTCT